ACTAATTCTCAGCCTTTGACTCCGTTTTCAATTTCATAAAACACTTTTTGCAAAACACAACACACAATTCTCTGTAACACAAAAAAATCTTAACAGGAATTAATAATATGGCAAAGGTGTGTGCAAATGTTTGCTTTTGAGATGTGTTTGTGATATTTTGAATGCGGTGCTTCATTTTGCAAGAGATGTGAGGCATTTTGTGTGTGTGCAATTCTTGGATTTGTGTGTAAAGTTTTGAAAAAAAAGAGGCAAAGTTTTGAAAATGTGTGCTGTTCTAGATGTTTGCTAAAGTGTTGCTTGTTGGTTGCTAGGATATTCTGGGTGGTTGCTAGGCTCTTGCTATGCAGTTGCTGCGGTGTTGCTAGAGTATATGGTTGATAGAGTTTGTTCTGGGTGATTACAGACATTCCCACCTCTGTTAATAACAGAAAATTAAACATTGTTTTCAAAACTGATCCAGTTTCAGTGCTTTGATATTATTGTATTTCTTTCTAATGTTAGGAAATGCAAAAGTTTTTGTTGCTCTTAAATTTGCACTAAACGTGATTATACCATCTAAGTAGAGTATGTAATTTTAATAGAACCGCACGTCTTCTTTAGTGATACAAGCTCAGAAACATGTATAACCTGTTGAAGTTTTTTTATATTGTGCATTGACTTGGTGCCACGATGGATATTGAAATGTTATTTATTTTTCATTTTAAACAGTATAGATGATTACTTAATGGTAATACAATATTTGTGAACACAACTGTGTATGTCAGACCATAAATCCCCCAAAACTATGCATGGGGGCTTGCTTTGGTGTTGCCACCCCTCATAGGCCCCATGCCACCCCTTTGCCACCCTAAAAATTATTTTCTAGATCCGCCCCTGAGTCCCGTGGACATGGAAAAACAACCCGTGGCAACAATGATAAAGTAGCCCAATTCCGCGGGAAAACCGCGGACTTGGCAACACTGGTAATCAGTAAAGTCATCGCGACACTGCAGCTGCCGTTAGAAGTCCCAGTTGCTATAGAAACAGTCAGAGTTCGGAGACGTGCGTTTAGGACTGCGCTTCAAAGATGGCCGCCGAGTGACATGACTTGTCTTAAAGGGACTTTGATAGTACGCTGCATGGACGAACCAAGTAATCACAACTTTGATTGCACACGCCAAAGTTTTTGGGTGCTGCTGCGCATCCCTGTGTGTGTACTAAGCAAAGTACGCGCATTGTGCACCCGCCTATAGGCGCATATTACTAAGGCGCTCTTTAAATAACAAAGTTTTGAAACCAGGTTTGAGTTGGTCTATGGCGCAGTCTATTTTCAATTCCTCAAAATAGCAATGCGCCAACAATGCACCTGAACACCTCTTTCCACTCT